GAAACGTTGTGTTCTCTTTCTTCTTTTTTTCAGCATGGAATAAACCTATTACTTGTTCCTTTGCAGCCTACGCATGCTGACGCAGCTACCCACCTGAACATTTTAATTAACTGCTTTTCTCCTATTTTGATTCAATGGGGTTCATTCCTTCAGTTTAATACACTGTATGATGTTATATGGGATTAAGTTCAAATTCAGCTTCTACCTGTTGGTTTGTCTGTGTGATTGGAACCTACATACATCAATGTGAGAGTTGGATGCTGGTACTCCAATATTTAGGTTTCAACTAAGCGTCCAGAGTCTCCTTAACCAGACAGACACCATATGCCATCAATAACATTCATCATTTAAAGGTATAAGTGCTGTATTGGTTATGCTAATGGTTACTTTGTTAACAAAAGCTTACAAATACCTTTTCAATACACTTAAACAATATCAAATGCCAGTTTGCATATCTTCAACATTTGTGTAGTTTGCTAAACATACAATGGATATAAAAAGTCTACAAAACCTTACTGAACCTTACTGAAATTGCAGATTTTTGTGATGTAAAGCCAGAAATCAAGCTATATCATGTCAGACATTTTTCCATCTTTAATGTGACCTTGCAACCAACAAAATTCAAGAGAAAAACAAATAGATTAAAAAACCTACAACACCCTGGTTGCATAAGTGTTCACACCCTTTTATAATGGGGGCTATAGCTGTGTTCAGAGTTAACCAATCAAATCATGTCCAAAGGTAAGTAGCATACACCTGCCATCAATGAAAGTGAGTCTGATTTACCCCAAATAAAATCAGCTATTCCTGTAGGATTTCCTTGAAACTTGAAACTTTCATGGTTGCATCCTACTGGGATAGCCATGGTCCGCAAGAAGCTGGCAAAATATCTATGGGTTCTTATTGTTGAAAGGTACTGATGAGGAGAGGGGTATAAAAGAATATCAATGGCATTGGATGTACCATGGAGCACCATGAAGACTATCATCAGTAAGTGTAGAACATGTGGCACCACATGACACATTGACAAGATCAGGACAACCCTCCAAAGTTGATGACAGGACAAGGAGAAAACTTATCAGGGAGACTACCTAAAGGCCTACAGCAACATTAAAGGAGCTGCAGGAATTTCTGGCAGGTATTGGTCACTCCTTGCATGTGACAACAATCTCCCGTGTTCTGCACACGTCTGGGCTATGGAGTAGGGTGGCAAGGTGGAAGCCATTTCTCACAAAAAATAACATCCAAACCCATCTAAATGTTGCAAAAAAATACATTCAATCACCCTAAAACATATGGGAAAATGTCTTATGGTCTGATGAGATAAAGGGTGAACTTTTTGGCCTTAATTCTAAAAGATATGTTTGGTGTAAAGACAACACAGCTCATCATCCAAAGAACACCATACCTTCTGTGAAGCATGGTGGTGGAAGGATCATGCTTTGGGGCTGCTTTTCTTCAGCTGGGACAGGGGCTCTATTCCAGATAGATGGGATAATGACTATCTCCAAATATCAAGATATTTTGGCATAAAACCTGCTGGCCTCTGTCAGAAAATATCAGGAATTTGATAACGACCCAAAGCACACATCCAAGTCAACCAAGAAATGGCTTCAGAAAAGGAAGATCAAGATCTTGGAATGGTCCAGTCAGAGCCCAGACCTCAATCCCATAGAAAACCTGTGAAATAACATAAAGAGGGCTCTGCACAGAAGATCCCCTGGCAATTGAAGGAGCTTGAAATTTTTTGCAAGGAAGAGTGGAATATAATTGCAAAGTCCAGGTGTGCAGAGTTGATAGAGACTTATTCACAAAGACTTACTTCTGTAATAAATGCAAAAGGTCCTTCCACAAAGTATAAGTTGGGGTGGGGGTGTGTATACGTATGCAACCAGGGTGTTGTAGGTTTTTTAATTTCAATTATTTTAAATTATACAAACTAAGCAGTTTGCTTTCAAATTATTTCCTATAGACCATATAAATACTTTCATTGGTTCTCTTACAAGACTACTACAAAAATTGCTAGTGCTTCCTTTAGTTTAATGAAATCATTTATTCCCTTAGTTACTGTGCAGACAAGAATCAGTTTGCTTCAGTTACAGATTAATATAAGTATTTTTATATGATTATGATTTAGGTATGGTATGATTTAGGTATTTTCAGCAAAGGTTTTTGTATTGTATATTGTCTGTACATTAAAAAAACTCAGGAAAAGGCATTCAATTTCGTGGCTTCCAGTGTACCCATAAATAAAGTTTAAATTTAATATTCTTGGTTTTCGTGTCGGTACATTATGTCTAAATTATAGGTGTGACAAGTATGATTTGAAAGGAAAAGAAAAATTGTCATTCTAATCCTAGCTACAGTATATGTTTACTTCATGTCTTCCTCATTACATGACATTACATGCAAAATGAGCAGGAGGAATACCTTTTATTTTCCTCCAATCTCTTTTCTAAACTTAGAAGTGGAAAATGGCAAAATTACATAACAAATGCTGTAACATAAAATATGACTGTTCAATTATACCATTTGCACTGAATTGCACTATGTATCTAGATAATGTACAACATTACACATTGGATTAAAAGTAACATACTGTACTTCAAGCAAGCTGTTACTTCCAAAATATTATCCAAAAGGCTGTGCAAATGCAATATATACATTACATGGTAGATACATCTTAGAAGATGGAGGTAATCACAGTATAGCATTCTTGTGGATGTATTATTAGTGTGGGCTAACAACAAATAAAATGTATGTTCTGTTTAATCTATTTACCCAGTAACTTTTGTCTTTTCTAAATATAAACATAAAAAAGTGGAAAAATTGAGCAGAGTAAAGGGGGCTTTTGTTAGAAAAAAAAAATATTTTTCCCTCTATTTTCTGTTTGCCATGGCGGCAGCCAAAGCTGAGTAACCAACTCATTGATAGATATGGGATATTAAGAGGCACACATTGGTGGAAAACTGAAGGTGTTAAGAGCAATGGGATATGAATAGTGAACCAGCAGAATGAAAGACTCACCAGCAAGCAGACAGCTAATGAAAGAATGTAAGCTAAAGGCAGCTAATGATCTGGGCCCAGGGACCGTGAAAGAGACCCAGAGTGACACTTATGCTTGCAATGCTGAAAATCAGGGATGTTTTATGTTTCATTTCCCCACTGTTTATTTTAGGGTTACCTGTCTATTTTCTTCTAAAGTAAGACCATCTCTCAGTGGAGACAGTAGGAGCTTCAGTTATCACTCTCACTCTTTATTCACCTCTCTGATAAGGCACAATGTTCTCAGAATAGTGAAGGGAATGAAAGGAATTCTTCACCAGAAACACTAAAAATAGTACATCATTATAATGTATACTGCCACCCTCTGCCTTTACACTAATGAAGATTACAATATGATTGATGAAATCATGGCTTCCTCTGACTCTGACACTGGATTTTTTTTTATCACCAAGCATGTTCTGTATTTTATTCGCTGGAAAGAACAACATTCTAGATTTTTTTGTATTTCTATAAATATTTCTGTAACTAACCTGCTTTTCAAATACCACTGTTTTGAAATGAGAAATTTCAATGAGGGTATGTTACGGTATGGAATACAAGTCATCCCATATAGTACTTGGAACACAACAGAGCTCCAGGCATGGAAATTCCTGAGCTGTTTTCTAAAGCCAAACAAGGTAACTCTAAATTCAAGACCAACAAACGTAATCTGTTGTCAGGATATTATACATAATATAGATAGCATTTAAGGTAAACATACCTAGCATGCTGTGACAAGAAATATACATTTTGTGTGGCAATACAGCCATGTCTTTACAAATGTGGAGTAAAGTAAAACCTAGTGTTTAACATTGTTAACATAAAATAAATCACATTGAACACATCAGAATCATTTAATACAGCTTGCTGGAAAAGAACTGGTATAAATGAAAGAAGGTGATGCTTACCCTTGTGTGTGTCCGAATGTGCATCTTTAAGCCGTCATTCTTGCTGAAAGCTTTGTCACAGTAGGGGCACTGGTAGGGGCGCTCACCTGCACACAAGATAAGCATCAGAGGACGGCAAAAGAGCTCACAGAAAAAAAAAAACCTGCTGTCTTGGCATATCAAGGTATCTCACAGAGGCTGCCTTAAAAGGCTAGAAAAATTCTGGTCTAGTGTTAATCTTTAGTTCAAACAGCGAGATCACAGCTTTCAGAAATTACAAGCATGAAGAAAAAGTTTATGCTTTGGTCACATGCAGAGCTGGATCAAAGTTCTACATTTCCACTGTTTGAAGTCTTACCTGCTAAGATATGGTTCCATACAAAGCTGAGCTGTAAATAAACAAGACTGGCTACAAATGACTGAAATGTTCCTTGAATTTGCTATGATGAATCTTTATCTGACAGCCAACTTTATCTCAGACTTAGACTATGATGGACTTTGCCTGACAGCTGAGACGATGTTCAAAGATAGCATACACTTATTAAAAAATATATTTTTTCCCATTGATTATATTAAAAGATTGATTTGCAAACAGGATTAATTTTCTGAAACTACCGAAAAGAAATTGCATGAAAATGTTTTAATTGTATCAGAAATCTATACATTTATATTTATAAATATCTTTATATTACTGGGAACGGACAGGTGTTAGGTTCTCCATAAAGATCTGAGATAATCATACAGTGGACACAAAGGTGGTACAACTGGTACCATCCTTAACAACTGTAAACATATACAGTACACGGTTCTGGGATTTGATGGTCAACATTAGTAAGATGTAATGTTATACACTATTTATAATATTTATAAAATACGTCATGTACTTTAACGGAAATTTACTTTTTCGACCATATTTCGATTACTTATTGAATCTTAAACATTTTATCAGTATGTTCCCAACATATACAGTATATATATAATTAAATATATATAGTTCATTACTTAGTCCACAGTTTCAACATGTTTTTACATAGACTTGGAAAAATATTGCATTCTGAGGTTAATCTGCTTCAATACATTTATGTATTATATGATAACAACAAAATATAAGATGAAAGTAATGGCATTTCTTAATTTAATTTAGGTAGTGACCACCCCTTCACACTTATTATATTACTAACAAACTATTTTTAAGATCTATTTTGTTTACGTTTATTGCAAAGAACATTAAAAAAGTCTTACAATTATTAAATTTTCTAGCAACATTTTCCTATTGTAGATCGTTATACAATTAAAAAACTCCAAGTGTCTGATGCAAGTGCTTCTGATTTTACCTTGTACAGTATGTACTTTGTATTACTTCTCCTGTCTTGTTGAATTCCAGGAAGGAAGGTTACTGCAGATTAAGCATTGATTTTTTTTCCCAAATTGTAAGTTGCTTTGCAACGAAATTCTAGAAGCACTTCCTTGAGGCCTGTGCCTGGAGAGGTTGATTGCATTTAAGCTACTGCTGTCACGTCTTGAATCGTTTGAAGTACAATGCAAGACATCAAAAGAAAAACATGCAGTTTGGAAGATTGTATCTACCAGATCAACAGTAGGGGGAAATGACAAGTTGTCACAGAATCCTTTAAAACTATAAATGTAGACTTCTTATTTTATTTTTGCTGATTCTAAATGAATAATTATTCAGTCAACTCCTCAAGTCTACAGGTAAGATTCACCAAAAACACAACTGAAGAAAATGTCTATATATTCTGAAAAAGTACCTACTGTACTGTATGTGTTGTGTTATTTGAAGAAAGATTCATGGGAATGTACATAGTTTTGGGTATAAGGTAAATGCAACATATCCTTATTTGATTTCAAAAAGCACCTAAAGAAAGCTCAAAACCTAACTATATTTAGTTTTTGCTTTGCATATACATTAGTTAAAGAATTTAAACTGTAATGTTTATTTACACATCTGACTTCAGCAATGGAAAACATCATGTACCTAAAGATGAAGCAATTCAAAAATCCTACCAAATGATTTAATGATTTAAACACATCATTAAATTGAAAATGCTAATATTTTTTACCTAATTATTTCAATTTGAATAAAATAGTGATACAAAACTACTAAATTACAAACAGGCTCCAAATGTTACTAGAATATGTGTTGCTAAGTGATCCAGACCAGGAAAAACTTTATCTACTGCAATTTAAGAACACTGTAATATAAAAGGTTCCTGTAAGTCTTTTCTCTTCTGCATTTTGTGGATATTTAATTTTTTTCAAAATTATTTCTGTTTAAAACAATTATTTTTATACACACTTGATTACCCTATAATCTTGATCTTCATGGTATTTTAAACCCAATAATCAATGTTTGAAAATGATCTCTCCCTGGAGCAACCACTGACAGAAATGCACTTGCCATACATATCATCTGTTTTGAAACACTATAAACAAATTAAATGACTAAGCAGAAGATCTGACACAAACTATTTTCTGCTTCTTGAATACTTAAAGGGGACTTGTAAAATGGGGACATTGAGAAAGCAGTACAACTCCACTTGTAAATGAACCCAAGACTAGTAGGAAATATGAGAAAAAAAGAATTGCATTAATGTATTCTATAATTTTCCTCATACCAGGAGGTAATTTAACAAGGATACTTAGCAGGAAAAAAATCCCTTCGGGAACACAACAGCAGATTGGTAAATAAATTAGCTCCATGAAAAGATTTAAACAAGAGTCCAATGAGCTCACAAATGAATTTAATAAATCTTGATATTAATAAGGTGCAAATTGCAGCATGAAAACATGCCTCCATGACTGCAGCTCAGTTTATTTATACAGATTTTTTTACTGTCTTCATTTACTGTCTTTTTTACCTTGACTGTGGTATGCTGGATAACTTGTTTGCTACAATTATAATTCTACTATATTCTCTTAGTACAATTATAAGATGACTTTCCTGGTTTCCTAAGTTATTTCTTTACCAAATTGCATACATAAAAGAATGCACATTCCACGTATGTTATTAATCATAATACACAGGGTGTTTTTTCTACTTTCACCACACTAGGTTTTTTTGCAGTGCAGACCACAGCCTAAATAGATGCAAAACTTTACTCTAATGTCAGTACATTTTAGGAGAATACTCATAGTTGTACATGGCAGAGGTAAAATGAGTCTGGTTTTAATTTAGGATAGACTGTATCTGTCTTAAGACTGGCAGCACAACCCCCCACTCCAGTATCCTACAAAAACAATGACTGGAACATAGGAGACAAAATGGCAAGTAGTGTCATGATGTACTTCATGGTGCTAAGCCCAAATGTCTTCTTGCCATCGTAAAGCTAAACAAATAAAGAAAAAGTTTTTACCAAACGGATTCAATGTGTAGAACATTCTGTATTTTCTTTTTACGTTTGTAACCATCAGGTATCTTTGCTATACCAACTTTTCATGAAAACAATCCAAAACTTTATGCCATTTTTATTCACTAACAAAACAATCCAATATCTATTATGTGCTCTCTTTTAAACAAATTGGTTCAGGCATGATGTTATAGAAATGCAGATTTTTCTTTATTCAAAGGGAGACATTTGGATTTTCAAGATGGACTTATTTCACGGCAAAGAGGACCAAAGTGCTGCCAGGGCATTGGCTAGGAATGGTCTTCTCCATCTTAGGAAAACAGTAAGGTCACATGTAGACTTGTGACATAACATGTAGTGATGTCAGAAAGAGATGTGTCACTTCAGCCTACACCACTACCACACTATGAAGCTAATTCTGTGCGTGCTCAGGAAACAGTGAGCATTTATGTTTGTGGGTCATAAAATTTTCATATACCCTGTGTTTAAGTCTGACAAATGGAGACTTTATAAATATGGGAAAATGTTTGGGCTACTACTTTAAAATGCCTGGTGTTGTGTTTTCTTTGGAGGTAGACAGATGCTGTTCAATTTCCCTGAAGATGAAGAGACATTTTGCAAACACAAAATCATTTAACGTTTACCTTCTCAAGAAAATCTGTTGTGTCGATTTGGGCTTAACCACATATACTTTATTTATTTTTAAATGGTGATGCCAATTTTAAAGATTTATTTCTTAGTCTACATATACTGAACATATCCAATGGGACCTGCAGACTGTTACTGTTTTCAAATTCAAAGAGCTTTATCAGTATGACCAATGAACTAGATTGCTGTCTGTCTAATCAATACTACAGTGAACTACAATGCTGTCTGTATTGATGTTAAAAATATAATTATGAGACATTTACAGAGAGACTCTCTCTTTATCCTGTATAGTGTTTTTCAGTGTTTTGTCTTTCTTTAAAAATAACCTATCCATTCTCCCTCAATAAAAGTAATTGAATACCACACTGTTGAAATGCCTGATGACTGAGAATCCACCTAAGCCTTCACTGACAATGTTTTGTACATTACATTGCATATGTTTGTGCTAAAACTCTATTTTAGATAATATACCAGAGTTAACAGTCTAAGGCTGTTTAATAGTTGTTTTCAATTTGTGTTGATTGTTAAATGTATTGGGCGGCATGGCTATGCCATGGTTAGCATTGCTGCCATGAAGCAGGGGCCTTGGGTTCAATATGTAGTGCACTATCGTCACGGATTGTATGTTCTCTCTGTGTTTGTGTGGGTTTCCTTCACGTGCCCCAGGATTCCTTCAGGTGCTTCTTCCCTACAGTCCAAAGATATGCTTTAACTGTAGGTTAATTGGCTTCTGGGAAAATTTGCTCTGGTGTTAATGTGTGAATTTGCATGTGTGTGTGTGTCCCTGTGATGGACTGGTGTCCTGTCTAGGGTGTATTCTTCATTACACCTGTTTCTCTGCCAGGTTAGGCTCCTGCTCCTCCTGTGATCCTGTCTTGGATAAAGCAGATTAGAAAATGGATGGACGGGTGTTAGTGGTAATATGGTCTGACTAATTTTTTTAAAGCACAGTTTCAATATATAATAACACACACCTTCAACTGGACATCTCCCCTAAGTTCAAATTCACTGGATGCAGAAAAATCTTTTGATGACACGGAACCCTACCTACCCTACCTTTTAAAATTTGCAACAAAATTCACCTAATAAGG